GAGGGGGAGGGAAGGTGAGTGGGGGAGGCTGAGGGGGAGGGAAGATGAATGGGGGAGGTTGAGGGGGAGGGGAGTGGTAGAGTACCCAGCAGGCTGCAGACCCTAATTTCCATCCCCAGCACAGGAAGTAAAAGTAACAAAGATGGAGGCATGGGAGGTGAGGTGGGAAGCCTATGCTCTTTGCATATCAGCTGTGTGTGATACTGAGATTTTTTTTGTAACTGATAGCTAAGGCCACATCTCCAGCCTGCAGTGACATTGGGTGAAGTTCTCTCATAGGTTCTGCAGATGCCACTCAGCCCTGGGGACAGCAGGAATGTGGGTATTAAAACCAGGTATAATTCATCTGGCCAGAGCAGGAAGAAAAATTTCCCTCCGTGTTATAGTTTTATTACTGCTCTTGTGACAGATTAAATTTCACAGTTAAATTATTTCCACCAAAACTTCTCTAGCTCTCATTTTCTTTTGTAGATGAGATTTTTTACCCTTAATAGCATTGATATGTCAAATAATAGCCTCTTTGATGTAATAACTCATGGGATCTGAAACGTACTTGTCAATTAACAAGGATGGATTGAACCTTTAGAGTGCTCTAAACCATTGGGAGAACATGTTAAAAATTAGATTTATACCCCGGCTTCAGATCCTGAAAATATTTATGATGGTTATTAATTTTAAATTTTGGTCCTCCATTTTGAAAAAGATTGTAAAAAAAACTCTTTTTGGTATAAACAAGGCAAAATTCCACAGGCATGCTGTATTTTGGCGAGGGGACTTTTGAAACATTCTTTTATTTTTTTAAGATTTATTTTACTCATTATGTATACAATGTTCTGATGCATATATGCCTGCAGGCCAGAAGAGGGCACCAGATCTTATTACAGATGGGTGTGGTCCACCATGGGGTTGCTGGGAATTGAATTTAGGGCCTCTCAAAGAACAGAAGACGCTTACAACCTCTGGACCCATCTCTCCAGCACATAAAACATTGCTTTCATAGCAACAGTATTTTTGATCATTTGTGTTTTTTTCCTTCTGGAAAACAGTTACTTCTGATTATATAATAATGATCATTTCTGTTAAAAGGTAGGAAACATAAGGAAAGGTATAAAAATCATCTGTGCTAGGTGTGGTGGCACACAGCTATGACGCTGACACTTGGGAGGGTGAGGCAGGAGGATCATGAACCAAACCAAACAAAAAACAACTTGAGATATTTTTATCCTGAGCTATATGGATTTACCTCCAACATCATAGTGTCTGTTTCATATATATATATGTGTGTGTGTGTGTGTGTGTGTAAAACAGACTGTAATTATATATAATACAGATTAGAATTATATACAATTCTAAATATATATCTAAATACATATAAAAATAAATATAAATAAAATATAAATATATTATATATTAAATATATTAAAATATATTGTATACAATTCTAAATATATACATATATGTGTTTACATATATATATATTTAAAAATCATAATCTGCATTTTGTTTCTGAGACAGGATCTTTCTACATAGTCCTGGCTGTCCTGGGACTCACTCTGTAGACCAGGCTGGCCTCAAACTCAAAGAGACCCACCTTCCTCTGTCTCCAGAGTGCTGGGATCAAAGGCATGTATTAAACGTGTGCCTGGATCTAATCTCTATTTTTAATAGTCAATTTGTTTTATGTCATCTCTTCTCTTTTGACTTCCTCATGTCCATTCAGTCAGCTTATATTGTTCACAATTAGTACTTTGTAATTTATATATTTATATTTAGTACTTTTTAAAGATCTCATAGGTTTTAAAACTGGGACAGGGAAAAATCTCTTACATTATCTCTGTAAACTTATTTGATACTTTTTTCATCACTGTGATAAGCATATACCTCTGTGGTAGTTGGAATGAGAGTGGAAATGTTTAGGAAGGGTTGGAAGTGCGGCCTTGTTGAAGGGGGTGTGTCACTGGGGGTAGGCTCTGAGGTTTGAAAAGTCTAAGCCAGGCCAGCGTCTCTCTCTCTGCCTGCTGCCTGTGGATCTGGGTGTAAAGCTCTCAGCTATTTTGACAGGGCCATGCCTGTCTGCTTCCTGCCATGATGACCATGGGGTAACCTTTAAACTGTAAGTGAGCCCCCAGTTAAATGCTTTATTTTATAAGAGTTACCTTGGTCATGGTATCTCTTCACAGTAATACAGCAGTGACTAAGACAACCTCAAATTCTCAACCATGCTTATCTTGAGATATTTATAACATTTTAAGTTGGGCAGGAGGTTTTGAGACAGTCTATATAGTTCAGGCTTGCCTCAAGATAGTGATTTTCTTTCTTCAGCTGCCTGAGTGCTAGGAATATAGGCATGGATTCCACTCAGCACCTAGCCCCTTTTTAACTTTTCAGTGTCACAGCAGCTCTGGCATTCTTGTCTAGTTGAGGAAATTTTTCCCAATCTGTTGACATAAGGGAACATTTAGAGCCAATGTAAGCAAACATATGTCAGACAAGATATGGGGGGGTGCTAGGTAGGTGTGGTTGTCAGGAGCCTAATGTCAGTCCTCATGAGTTTGAAGCCAGAAGATTTCAAGTTCAAGGCCAGCCTGAGCCACATAACAGGTTGTTGTCTTAAAATACAAACAAGCCCCTACCCCTCCCTCCAAATGGGAAGAAATCTGATCTCTGCTGTGCCATTTAGCTCAGAGCTTTGCTGCCTCTGTTCTTCTTGGCTTTTATTTCCCTTTTCTGTGATTCTCCATGGACTTGCTGGCTCAACCCTTCCATTCGTTTTCCTTTAGGGGGCAGAGTAGAGCACCACACTGCCCACAGCCTCCACACCACAGCTGGCTTAGTCATTGTCTCTAGAACCTTCCTTTGAACCTGCTGAGGATCTCATACTGACAGAGACTCCTGGGGGGGGGGGCATGGTCTGCATTCTGAATCCCTATGCAGCTGGAGAAAGTGAAGCCCATGGTGACCACTTTAGAGCATGCCTCAGCTGTCACCAGGTGTGTTTACAGATCTGGGCAGAACCCCCCTAACTGGACAGTCCTTCATAGCTAATTAAAGCAAAGAGGTTGGGCTCCATAGCATGATACTGTAAGCCAACCATTTGAGAGACTAAAGCAGGTGACTCATAAATTCAAGACCCCTTCCCAAAATATAGTTTTTAGTCATAAAAAGAAAACAGACAAGAAGCTGTTTATATTATATGAATAATAAAGTGTGAGCAACATGACTTCACCACAAAACGATGCATACATAAACACACATGCACAGACCTGTGCTCTGACCAGAAGCAGCTCAAAGACCTGCGCCCGGGACTTCTTCAGAGCTCCTGCATCCATCTGCTGGGAAGGAGATTTCCTCCACACCAGGCCTTCATCTCTACTATCATCATCTTACAGTATCATTGCCTCTTATCTGGGGCTTCTGTGTCTGAGACATCACCACACTAGCTGTGGTGTACCACGGATACATTCTCCCACCGCTGCCCTCATCTTTGGGATGGATGGAAGGCTAGTGTCCTGTCACCTTTCTGTCTCTCTCATTCGCAGGCTCTGACCGCCACTGCTCCTCCTGCCCCCAGGCCACTCTCCACAGTCCAACACAGGAGACACATTGCACCCCATGAATTTCACTTCCCAGGACTCCCCCACTCCCCTCTACTCTAGACAGCAACCCCCAGGTACCTAACTTTTTCCAATTTGAATATTTAGCATCCTCTTCTCTTGACTACAGTTTCCCAAATCCTCCACAAACCTCTGAGTCCAGCAGCAGATGGTTTCTTCCCATTCACTGGACTCCAACAGGGTATCTTTAGGGAAACAGGATGACTTTAGGCCTGTGCCAGAGCCCACAGTGTGTAAATCCAACAAAGAGGTCGCAGAAAGGGTGTCAAAGCTCTAAGACTCTCTGGGTTGCAAGTCACACAATGGTGCTCACTGGTGTCATACCCCGCCCCCATTTTGTGCTTTCTGGCTTGAAAATACCATCTTGCTATCATCAAAGCCCCAAGCAATGTATTTTTTCAACTTAAGGAAGTTGTTTTTCAAAGTGCCTCGTACTGGAGTTACCTGGTTCTGAAGGCTGCCATGAACAGTCAGCTCCTTGGCTGAAGCCAAGGGGCAATAATTTTCCAAGTGTTTGTGGGTGACTGCTCCATACCATGTTTGGATTTGGAGGTGACATGGTCAATGGGACAACTCTTCAATAATCCCTACAACCAGAAAATAGTAGCCCATAACTTATATATTTCCACAGGGCTAGTGTTGCATTTGTTCTGTATACCAGACAGACACACATCATATAACTTTGGCATTTTGACAATAGGAGCTGCTCAGTGGAGCTGAGAGCCCCACCTTTGCTCTGAAGATGGAAGTTGGTAATATCACAAGTAACGCTGTAAAGTGTTGATCTCCACAGGTCAGGTCCCTTTAACCCTGTAGTAAATCGCCTGCCCTAAAGGGAGTTGCAGAGATGGAAATAAATTC